CAGCCTGGCTTAGCAGAAAGCTTTGACTGGAACTCCACCTCAGGCTGGTGTTTCCTTTTTCAGGAGACGTTCAAACCTTTGGAAGAAGGGGCTGGAAGGTCAGAAGGACCACAAGGATGAATATGAGAAGGGCCAAAGCCCAACTAGAACTGAATCTGCCATAACAGACAATAAAAAATGTTTCTATAAATCCATCAGCAACCAAAGGAGGGCTGAGGAGACTCTCCATCCTTTATTAGATGTGGGGGCCACAGTGACAAAGGTTGAAGAAAGAGCTGAGGTACTTCCTGCCTCCTTTGCCTCAGTCTGTAGCAGTAGGACCAGTTGTTCTGGGACCCTAACCCAGTCCCCTGAGCAGGAAGACAGGGATGGGGAGGGAGTGGAATGAAGCCCCCATAATCCGAGGGGAAATGGTCAGTGACCTGCTGCACCACCACAGAGACACCCACAGGTCTGTGGGGTCGGATGGATCCATTCAAGGGTGCTGAGGGAGTCGGTGGAAGGGCTCACCGAACCACTTTCCATCATTTTCCAGCAGTCCTGGCTGACTGGGGAGGGCCAGTGGACTGGGAGCGAGCCAAAGTGATGCCCATCTACAAGAAGGGTCAGAAGGAGGATCTGAGGAACTCCAGGACTGTCATCCCAACCTCAGTACCAGGGAAGGTCATGGAGCAGAGCACCCTGAGTGCTGTCACACAGGTAGGACAAGCAGGGGATCAGGCAGGTCCTGCCTGACCAGCCTGGGCTGCTCCGTGGCAGGGGGGGCTCAGATGGCTCCGTACAGAGCCAGTCCCGTTCCATGACTTCATGGATGGCCTGGACGGGGGGATTGACTCTGAGTTGGGTGGGAATACTGATGTGCTGGAGGGCAGGAAGCTCTGCAGAGGGATCTGGATCCAAGGGCTGAGAGCAATGGGGTGAGGGGCAACAAGGCCAAGTGCCACATCCTGCCCTTGGGTCACAACAACCCCATGGAACGCCCCAGGCTTGGGGCAGAAGGAGTGGAAAGCCGGAAAAGGACCTGGAGGTGCTGGTTGACAGCAGGTGAATGTGAGCCCAGGTGTGCCCAGGTGGACAAGAGGCCAATGACACTT